CAGGCCTCGTGAGACCCCCCTCTCGGATGATCGCCACGTGTCCCGTCCACGTGTCAAGTCCCATTAGACATTTTCTTTTTTCGGTTGCCTCCCTCAGTTTCCCCCTTTTCAAACCATAATATGCGGGGAATAATGGTGCTGCTAATTGATACTAGCAGATGTGACATAGTTAGATGCACAGGAAATTAAGATGGAAATTTTGAAGTGGACTACCTTGTTGAATCTATCCCATGATTAGGTATCGGGGTCGTGCCGCGAGTGTGCAGATAAGGGTCGCCCATTACAGATTTGGTGTAGTGGCCATGAGAGCGTAGGAAGGACGAAGCCTTCGAGGGTTGAGATCTTGTTCGGGTCGGAGAGATTCAAATCCGTTTGTCGAGGTGTATATGTTCGGTGAGAGATCCGCCAGACCACTGCTAACTATTTTAAAGGTATTAGATGAAAGACGTGATTTAATATCTAATTATTTTTTTTTATAAGTTAAAAGGTGAGAAATGGGCGACCAGTGTAGGCGATCAAATGAGTTCCATGCCTATGTTCGGAATGTTTGTTTTGAGCCAATAACTACTACTCATTTTCATGTGAGCCTATCACCATCACACCATTGGATGCAAGTAGGAATAAATGCACAGTTACCGTATGCATGGTGCACGAGCCTAACCTATGCCCCAGTGTAATCGATTCTTTTATGCGATTGAAGAGCAATAGGATTTTCGAAATTGTGATAATATTTCAACACTCCCACTCATGTGTAGGTTAGGCTTTAACCTAATTCTAGAGCATGAAATTATATTTGGGGAGGAGCTTATAAAGATTTGAGCTAAAAACGTTTTATTCTGATATCATGTAAAATTATGCGGGACCACTACTAATTGTACTAAAAGTTTAAGATTATAGATGGAGATGGGGTTTAATATTTTGAATACTTCAACGTTAGGGAAGCTAGACAAGCATGGGAGGAAGGCTCACACATGAGAAGGTTTGTTAAGATGCACTTGCAATGGCGAGACTGTCCAACTTGCCACCACGCCCTCAATTTGCACCCTCGTCATGTTTGGCTAGCACACCCTTTGTTTGGACGTGCAGTATATGCTTGGTATCTTGACCCAAGGAGATTACTAAGGAGGAGTTATAATCTCATCAACATATCTAATTGGATTTACCTTCACTCAAAAATTTGAACTCGTCAATATATCTAATTGGATTTACATTCACTCAAAAATTTGAGCTAATGAGTTATGAGCTAACTAGAGTATATTAACTACTCACATTACTTCACATCCATGATACGATCTTTCACCTAACACCTTGACACATGCACATCAACAAATCCCCCCCCCCCCCCCCATGTGTAAGCCTATTGTAGTATGCTTATTCCCCCTTAATTCAGGTATCATTTTGCAACGATACTATCTCAACTCACCTCTCCACCTTGGTCCCGCCTAGTTTAGAAGATGATTGTGAGGAACAACATTTGCTGTTCAGACTTTACCCCAGTCACCTTGGCCCAGCCAAGTTCGACAGGAACCTAAAAGACATTATCCACCACCTAATTTTGAGAGTCACATCCGAGATTCCTTTCTTAAAATATTTACCATACGTCAATCAACACATGTTGGGCCCGACCCATCTAACCATCGGCTATGATAACACTAGTTGGAGCTTGTAGTAAAAGCTCGATACCTTCATCTCGAGGGTTTATCAATAGAGAGGCTTAATTTGAGCCTGTCAACATATTCAATTAAAGTCGCTATCGTTCAAAAGTTTAAGTCATAGTTATGAACAACTAGAATATATTAACCACTTCCATTACACCAAATTCTCCATGTGAGACTTCTTCCACCTAATATCCTTATGCGTGTACTTCAACACCCTAAATCTACGCCCTTGACACCATGAGGGCAGAATTGAACATGGAGAGGGTTGGCAACGTTAGAAGCAAGCTCTCTTCAAACAAGGCATCTTGTTAGTAGAGATCTGGGCAATGGAATCTGCTAAAGAAGATAAAAGAAATGCGTATAAGTCAATGAGATTGGCTTAGTGCTTAACGAACAAATGTTCATGTGGCTGCAGAGCACGATGTGGCTGTCACTTTCATTCACCATACCATCATCAAGTGCAAATAATTTCATGTTTTATCCCACAAATCCCAAATCAGCTCGTCCTTTCACGTAACCTGCGACGTTACATGGGTTTCTCACGATTTAAATTTTTTTGCATAGACAGACTTTCTCGTCATTAATTAAGAACAAAAAATAAATGAAGAAGATGTTACGGCAGGTTGCCTTTTATTAGCTCTTTTTATGGACTCTTTCAAAGAAGTTATCCATTTGTTATTATTAAATTATACGTCAAAAATTTTTAAAGTTGAATTTTTTCAGCTCTATAAATTTTTTCAAAAATGACAAATAAAGAGCATCCTGTCACGCAAGCAAAAGCGTCGTTCACCAGATATTATTTTTGGCCATAAAAATTCCTTCCCAGATAAATAGGTGAATTAAGTTATATAAATCAGATTGAAAATTATATGCAGCAGGTCGTGTGAAAAGCGACTCAATTACAAGTTTGAATGAGATTAATATTTTATGCCGAGTCAATCATCCTGTATATTGACATTCATATGATTCTCTTCTTCTTCCTCGCTTGATCCCAAAAATGAAATCCTTCAAGGTTTTCCACGTGGTTCTTCCCTTGGAAGTGGGGATCGGTGGTCAACAGCAGCCAGCCTTCGAGGAAAAAGCCCCAAAAAGGGGAGGTGGGAAAAAGCAGAGACACGACCAAATTTTTACTCACATATTACCTCACGATTCATAATATGACTCGAGTCGTCTCATATTACACTCGACACATGGTGATTGATCCGGGTTGATATAAACATCGTAGTTGGAGCATGATTGTCGCACTTAATGGGATTTAGTCATGCGGGGAAGAATTTTCAATTATCCCCCTCTCAATAGACAGAAGGGAAAACGGCACAAATAATTCATGAATTTTAATCCAACGTGCAACGTCATCTCCAAACTTTTAATTTGTTCGGTATCGTCCTCGAACTTTAGTCCAATGTTCGATATGGTCTAAAAACTTTTAAACATTTTCATGTGGTCTAGAGACGACATTGAACACAAACTAACGATACAGGGACCACGTTGAACAAACCAAAAGCCAATGGACGATACTGCATATTGAGCCAAAGTTCAGGGACCCTACTGCACAAATGAAAAGTTCGGGGACGACATCGCACATCGGACCAAACTTCAGTTACCACTGTGTTATCATTCCTGGACAACAACAGTAAGGCATTAATTGGGCAATGTTCAACCCATGATTTTCAATTCTTGGTGCCTAATCTTGTACGAGGGGTTTAATAATTTTTTGGTCTGGTGGTTGGCTAAGGGAAGGAGATAGGATGGCCTGAGAATGGCCCCTCTCACCTGTCCCACCACCATAAATCAAGCATTGTGCTACCAACCCAAGTGAAGAAAAACCCCAAAGAAGGGGGTTGGTGAGACTTGAGAGAGAGAGAGAGAGAGAGAGAGAGGGAGAGGCGCAAAATCTCTATTATGTCCATGTCAATGTCACTTGTATCTCAAATTCGCCCTTATCCCCTCATGAGAGGAGGAACACATTGATGATTCTTTGAGCCCAACTCTCTTTGGGTAAGAAGCACCTCACCAACTTCACCCCTCCTTCCTAATTTTTCCTCTTTGTTCTTTTTTTTTTCCTATTTTTCAATCCCCAATTTCGGTAATTTCCCAGCTTTTTCTTGGAAATAGGTGTCAATATAATTAATGGGAAAACTGATGAGACCAGACTTGACTAGTAGGACCAGCCAACCTGTGTTCCCCCCCGCCCCAGTAGGAGCCGCAAAACCACCCAAGTCCCAATCCATTTGTTTGGCTAAAAAAAAAAGATAGAAAAAAACAGGAAGAAAAAAGAGACGCAAGTGCAAAGATGGGACGGTTGTTGACAAATTTAATGATTTTGTGACGCTCCCCAAACACTTGTTAACTAACTAATTCATTGCTGGTCGAAACACGGTATAAATCATATGAAGGCGTAGCCTTTCCACCAAAAAAGACACCTATTGCAAGTAGTAATATTTTTTTGTATTTTCAAAGCATGAATTAACTGTATCTGAGCTTTTTAATAATACATTTTAATTGACGAAATTTTTTTAAATGATATCTTTTGACTTTAAAATTTTCAAAAAAATCTTCACATGCCCCATATTAAGGTAACTAACGATACTATGTCCTAATAAATTGAACAAAATCATGACTTTAATAGTCAACATAATTCATCATATGAAGATTCTTGATTTAAACTTAGATAATAACTCCATCATCTCATATGCAATTAGTTTTTTATTTTCAAACTGATTGCAAATTTTTCATTGTCTTCGTTCATTAAAACCAATTAAACGTGCATAGCAAAAAAAATGAGTCTATGCGCATTATTTTGATCATTATGGTCCACATAACTTTAAATACATATTTACAATGTATAAATTTTTTTTGGGTAATGATAGTGAACCTAAGGGATGATGACACAAATAAGTCATTAAATTTGATTTAATGTGCAATGTGATCCATGAACTTTTACCTAATGTGCAATGTCTTTTTGTTCAATTTGGTTCCTAAACTTTTATTTAATGTTCAAGTTAATCTCTGAGCTATATGAAAATGTTGGATGTTACCGGTAACATCGAACATTTTCATATAGTCTAAGAAATATATTAAACATGCATCAAAAGTTCAGTGACCACATTGAATACAATTAAAAGTTTGTAAATTCAGGGATCGCATTGAATAAATTAAAAAAATTCAGGAATTACATTTTACATCGAGCTAAAAATTTAGAGATCATTTGTGTTATTTTCTGGTAATCTTGCAGTAGCAACAGTTAATTTCCGAAAGAAAAAAAAAGCCCAATTTATTATTTGTTTGTACTGTGTTCACTGCGCTCTCTCTCTCTCTCTCTCAGTTCTCACCAGATCTTAATTGCCACTTTTTATAAATGCGTAGCGTCGACAAGGAGCAAAACCCAACTGGATATAGAGGCGCAAGCAAAGCTCAAGAGAGGTGCTCCCGTTTGTTGAGAGAGAGACGGAAGCGTCAGACGTGCCTTCGCAGATTCCTTGCCTTCAATCCTTCGGCGCTCGTTCGGACACACAATCTTCTCCAAGCTCCTGTCCAGGTACCCTCTCAGACTAGATGCTTCCCTTGTTACTGTGTAGGAACCTTGCAGATTTGGTGTGATTCTTGGAGTCACCCAAGTTTCAAATGCATTTGATCTTCTTCTGTTGGCTGGGAGAGGTTAGGTGATGCAAAAGTCCCATCGTTTGATGTGGGATGAATGACGGACCCACGTCAGTCTTTTCTTGGTTCCCGTAAAAATGTCGCCTTTTTTCTTGAATTTCAGCCAATAGCTGTGTTTGGGCTTCTGGGTGTCGGAGATTCTTGTGGTTTCTCTAATCTTGATTCTTTTGTAACCCGCCTTTTTCTTGAATTTCAGCCAATAGCTGTATTTGGGCTTCTGGGTATCGGAGATTCTTGTGGTTTTTCTAATCTTGATTCTTTTGTAATCCGCCTTTTGTTCTTGTTAATTCTTTGGGTGCTCGGTGATCTGCTTTATTTTCTAGACCATTGATCAGACCATCTCCTCTAAGAATTGGACATTTTCTTTTTAATTCTATTTGGCCTTTGATTTGTTTTTACCGTTTGATTTGATGCGCTGGTTCATTCATTCTGTTGTTCTAGGAAGATTTTCAGTGTTCGATTTAGCATTAATAAGGAGTTACTTTGTTTCTCATTGCAGAAATTTGGTGATCCAACTGGTACTCTCATCAGATTAGATAAACAGGTTAATTGATTTGGCACGGTGCAGCTGTCTTAAGGTTGATGATGGATGCCAAAATTGCACAAAGGCCACAGTTCTCAGCGTGGATTGATTCGGACAAGGTTGGAAGAAAATCAAGCTGCTCGCTGCAGGTTCCCCAAAAATTACGAGAAGGGAGCTGTCGTGTGCTCATTTCGGCCCATTTAGAGCCTTCAAGAAGTTCTAATCGGAATAAACCGATCTCTTTAGAAGTTCCGTGTTCGTACCGAGAGTTTCCAGGAGGTAGTTGCTCTTATATTGATTTCTTGTTCAACTGTTTTCCCACTTAAAGATGTGGGGTGATTCAGAGTTTTTCGTGTCCACATTTTATGATAAGTAGGTAATCTTATTTTATCGTTTGCCTTTTGAGCTGGTGATTGTGGTTAATCTTTATCAATGGATTCCTCTAAATTACTTTTAGATTGTTAATATCTGGGATCATTCTGGGATGATACTTGGGGAGAGATTCACCTTTTGTCCCATGACCTTAGGAAATAATGTATGATTGAGCTATCTTTGCTCAGAAATGCAAAGTTGGCGTTATTCAGTCGGGGCGAGAAATTTGATGTTTTCTATCAATGTATAATAAATAGATCAGTCTTGCTTACTTGTTATATTTGAACCACATAATGCAATTATGTTTTTCATTCTTTCCCCAATTGTATAGGCAGAGGGCAGATTCTGCTGTAAAATGTCAATCATGCTTTGAGTTTTTGCACTCTTCTTTTGTTTGCTTTTGCCGAAGTTTGGATTTTCTAAAGTAGCGATCTATATGGGGTGTCATCAAATTCTACTTTTGTTTTCTTCAATAGTGAACTTAATGGAATAAGGCCTTTTCTTATGGCTACCTGCATCATCTTCTTCTGTCTGTCTGATTTGCTGAGCATCAGCAGTGATGTGAATGACACATTTTTTGCAGCTCCAAGATTGCAATCTGGAAGTTTCAACTCCCCTTTTGATGAAGCTTTGATTTTGAAGGTACTGAATCCTATCTTCTGTTTGTCTGACTGAAGTCATAGGTGTGATGCTGGTAATCAGGCATCATTTTCTTTTATAGTGGTGTTTGTGTGAAGTAAGATGCAAATGTATATGAGTGAATTTGTTTACTTGTTAGTATAAGCATGTATCTTACTAAAATCAATAAAACTGCAGAATAAATCGCAAGAGATTGAGCCATATTTAAGTGGGCGCTGTATATATCTTGTTGGTCAGTTTCTATTTCCTCGATCGTCTGTTGGTTTGACTTGACAATCTATATCTCTAGTACTCACCTGTTTGATCCGATTTGCAGGAATGATGGGTTCTGGGAAAACCACCGTTGGCAAGATCCTATCTCAAGTACTTGGTTATAATTTTTGTGACAGGTTCGTTCATGATTCCTTATTTTCACTTCGAAAATGTTGCAAATTGCGGAATGTCTGTGGATTAGATGCTCTGACTGGAAGATACTTAATGCACATTATCTGGTTTTTCTTTTTCTTTTTTTGTGGGGGGGGGAGGGGGGGTCCATTACCTTATCTAATAGCTTATCAGTTGTTCTTGTCTGGTGGACCTTTAATTGTTAAGTGTGGTGACGTAATTATATTTTATTAAGAGGAATTATATCATCATAAGTAATACAGGCTTCATCTTGTAACCAGAAATATGGTTTTCTATTGGAAGAAAGGCTTTATATGTTTCGATTTCATGCTATGTAAAATTGTACAGGTTCGTTACTCCCGTGCTTTTTCTTGGCTTGACGTTTCATTTGACTCTTTAATGCTCCAGTGACACATTGGTGGAGGAGGATGTTGGAACTTCTGTGGCTGATATCTTCAAGCTCTATGGAGAGGGATTCTTCAGAGAGAAGGAGGTGAGCTGGGAGAATTTGCTTTTGACAGACCTTATGCATTTGTTTCATCTATAATATCATAAAGTCAGTCGTATTCATGCTAGGTTTTCCTGCTAATGAATTTGTAATTTCATATTGCAGACTGAGATGTTGGGAGGGTTATCAAGAATGCATCGGATGGTGGTTTCTACTGGTGGTGGTGCAGTTATCCGCCCTGTCAATTGGTAATTTTAATCAATGAATGAATGATTCCGTCCTATACATGTCTTCACCATTGCTTTTTTCTTTGTGAAATGTTTTAATTCTGTATGCGTTTTCATCTGTTATTCAGGAGACACATGCGACAGGGGATTAGTGTCTGGTTAGATGTGCCTTTGGAGGCATTGGCACAGAGAATTGCCGCTGTGGGAACACATTCTCGCCCACTTTTGCATGACGAATCAGGTGATGCCTACACAAAGGTGAGTTACTTTCATTGCAGACCCAGATACACAACTTGTGAATTTTCTTAGTTGAAGCACGATTTAATGTTGTGCCATTCCTGCCCTTACCAAAAAAAAATGTTGTGCCATTCCTGATACTAAAAAATTACATGCAGGCATTAAAGCACTTGTCTAATCTTTTGGAAGAGAGGAGCAAATCATATGCATTTGCCAATGCTCGGGTTTCTTTGGAAGGTACGCTCACTTCAATTTCCAGTGCACTAACATCTATGCACTTTTCATAATGAACCTTGAGGCAGTGCGGTTCTGTTAATTTACAGTTTGCTTCTTTCTACCTTTGATGCCTTGGATTGTATAATGAGATGGTCCACTCTTTGCAGAAATTGCAGCTAAGCTAGGTTACAGAGACGTGTCACATATCTCACCAACTGCTATTGCTATTGAGGTCTCTCTCAAGCTCCTCTCTTACTCGCACGCTCGCACTTCTACTTTGCCTGCTTTTTGCGATTTGCTCACTTGAGAATATCTATTCTGAAATTTCAGGCACTTGAACAAATCGAGGGTTTCCTGAGTGAGGAAGATGGCATGGCGTTTGGGACATTGTAGTGACAAACCTCGCTCTTTTTGGGACATGATATCATTTTTTGTATTCATTTCAGACTCCTTCGTGGTTGAGTCATTTCACATGCCCCGTCCGTATTTTATCGTCGGGACATGGCATTTCCTGTTGTTTGTTTATATCGTCATGTATGGTGGTTCGATAATCTGACAGTACTGAGTACTTCGGTGTACTTTTGTTGGACGTAAGGTGAAGTAATATTTGTAGTCAGAATGAGATGGGGACGTAGACAGTACAAGTGGATATAGAGTCCTTGTCTTTGAACCAGAATGATATGTTATCTCATCAATGTAAGGGAAAATGAAGAATCCAAATATACATTTCTCTTTCGTTGACAAGGTTGCATTCTCAATTTCTTTCATTCTACCGCTTTTTCTTCTTTAAATTCTGTTGATATGTACTTACAAAGCGATCAATGGATTGAGCTTGGACTGGAAAAACACAGGATCAGCTCAAAAGACCAAACCAGAAGTTTCAAAGGGAGGAAGTTCTTGCACTTCCAAAGATATTATCCCCTTAAAGCTGATGGAAATCTGCGGATATTACAAGATATGGGGACACAAAAGGTTAGAGCACGTCTCTCAATAGCCAAATGGATATCATATAATCATTGAACAAGATAGGCTTCCAACGGATTGCCTTTTGAAGTTGTCTTTTTCTTCTTGATAAGACAGCTCTTCAGACGCGGAAGTGGTACAGACAGCAATGAGACCTGGCCTACTACGTTTCCAAGTTGGTAGTATTCTGATTTACTCGAGACCAACTATTAGATCATGCACGGTCACGGATCCAAGTATAGACCGAAGCCCCACCATGATTTTTACGATCATTACCCCCGACACACTGTCCCGCCTTGACTCGTGATGTTTAGCATCGCTACTTGCACTCGTAAAATGCAAGATAGGGTTCTTGTGGAAACTCGTTATTTTGCAGAGCTTGGCCAGAGTGGATTCTGAGCACATATGGTCGCATTTCAGTTTAAAACTGGAGTAAACAGCGCAAAGGAACGAGATAGAGCGCTTCTGCAACAACCCAGAAAGTAAAGTTTTATCGCTATACCAAGCACCTGCATTGACCTCATTCATTGATGTGTGGATAGGTTATGGATAGGATCTGACTACGAGTCATAAAACATATCTATACACTTGACCAGTTGTCCGGTCCCCGCAAAGAAGGAAAAGGGCATATCCTAAGGTCATTGGCCCTTCACCACCACCAAGTACAGTAGAGAAACAAACAGACTCGCTGGTCACCATACTTATTACCGAAGAGCCGTCAAAGCCCGAAGCCAATCTGATGGTCCTCCCGCTGATGCATACATAGTAGACAACTTGGCACTATAAGTTTAAACATATATAAAAAGGGAGAAAAGCGTCAATATCATACAAGGCATCATATATTAAGAACGAAAAGAGTACAAAGTTTGTTTAGTTATTCATATACATCGTCACGATTTATACAACAGTGTTCTAAAACTTATTGGACTTAACACATGATAAGATGGATCATCCAGCAAGATGATGTTGTAATATACAAAAGACACAAGCTGCGAATAGGCGAACATCTCCTTCAAGAGGTCTTAAAATCCGATCACAAGCAGGCACCAAACAAGGTAGCAAGGATGTGCACTAGTTGCCTTTCAGAGTCTCGAATGACAGCTTCAGAGTAGGGCCATTCGATGATCGATTTACTCACTGTTGATTTTTCAACACCCTGAAGATGGAATGGCAATAATAATAAGCAATTTCACACGAGGGGACAATGATAAAAGACAATAAAAAAACCAAAGAAAGCAAGCATGTCCAAAATGAACTAGAGACGCCATCGCGTAGTGCTATAGTTTTCCCACGCATATCATCAGCTAAACAAATGGAAACAAAAGCAAACAAAAATAAAAAAGGGTCCCTCTGGATGCCGGTCACAATGTTCTTTGGGGTTCTCCCCTTTTTTCCGAACTTCATGGTTCATCATCTGATTTGATCATTCCAACTCACGTCATAAGCTGTGCAAAACAATCATAATGACAGCAGCAGCAATAACTGATGCACCAAGATCGTACCGCCAACAATTGACAGCAATGCTTGTCCTTTTTCTTCTTATGAAAAAAGCCATCATGCTACCAGAGTGCTTTCTTGGACAGTAAGCTGTATTGGGCAAGAGTGGACCACAACAAGTATTAATGGCAGGATTGTGAACTTAATGAACCGGACAAGAAAGGACGACAACCACATTTGTTTTCTTTGAGTAGGTTGACTGCACCGATAACTTCGGTTCATTGCTCAAATTCTTCAAAACTCTCTAAAAGATCTGTCCCTATCAATTCTACTAACATCCTTTCGATCATCTCCTCATTCTTCAAGAGAATCCATGTCCATAAAGCCATGCCTCCCAACTTTTCTTCTTGCAGTTTCTTGAGCCAAGCACAACTACTTCGGGCCACATCCATTTTGTTTCTATCGTATGGTCTGACACTAATGGCTCAAAAGTTTATTAGTTCCATAGCTCACAAGGATGAAGGTATCAAACCTATAACGTTATTCTTGAGAACAATTTGTACTCTTCGTTGAGTGGAAAAATCAAATATTATAGATTATGACATGATAAAAAATTGGCAGCCCATGTGAGACTACCTCTTCGTAGAGGAGATCCATGAAATTCGTCCAAAGGTACTTGCAGATAGTAAGGTACACCTCAGGCTGGAATGATTCTTATCCACCACATGGATCTAGCTCACTAGCATCAGCTATTCAGTACCTATGGATAGAGCGTAATAACATAAATCAATGATCTGAGACAGATACGTGAAACTTAGGTCCTTGTACGTCAACTGTTTGAACATATTAACACCATGTTGAACCACTTGTCCCTTGATCTATTGACGACCATCCTTCCATATAAGGCACATCCAATCTTCTGAGCAAACAAACATCTCCTCAATGTCAATGTGCATCCTCGCGGAAAATGTTCTACTATTAGTCCACTACAGCATCCTTTCACACAAAGAAATCCCCATTTTGACGTGATTCCTCCAATTATTTTGATGGAAGAATGACACAACGAGCTGCAAAAATCATATTCTTGTAGGCTTTCCTTTTGGAGTCAACCACCTAGTGCCTACATTATGTTTGACTAGCTGAACAACAGTAGGGACTGTAACAACAGCCAGAGCACTATGTAGTTTCATGTTCCTAGCTCTTCATATATGACATAGATCAGCACTCCATTCAAAATTACAAACCAGAGAATAAAGATTCTTCTCCTTGAAATGCATAACAGACCCATCTAACTAAGATCATATAACTACCAGACTCTGTCCCAGACTTCAGCAGACTGAAATTTGGAATAACGAATGATCTCGCCATCGACAATATTACCACAGAACAAACAGTCAATACTCATACCAAGTATCCATCTAGTGAGACTGTCTATTAGCAAGTAGATATTATGCTACACGCCTGAAATGTAGTAGTCTTTGAGATACTAGGTGGAAACCATATCAACTAATACCATGGAGCTTTCCTTCATTTCTCTCTAAGACAATTCCAAGCACTTCTAACTAGAAATAACCCCATTACAAGCCGCAGTCCATGTGAGTTTATCACATCCATCACAAGGTTGCAGAGTGCAACAAAGTGCAGACTGAATTGCCCTCATATCATGGCATGATATGCTCTAGCAGGAGGCCATCTCTAATTTGCATTACAATGAGCAAAACTTTTTAAAATTTACTGAGGAAAAGAACACTAGGAGTGCTATAATTTTTGTACGGCGCTCACTTGAGTGCCGTCCTCTCACTAGACAGAGTCGACAGCATGGAGGGAAAAATTAAGGCTTGTTGCGTGACGAATCTTGATCAACAGAGACTAAAGATGAGTAATTTGTTGTGTTTCGTGAGTTACATTTGTTGTTGTGTCCACTAACCGACAAAATCGGCAATTGCTTATTCAATTTCGTGTTGTTGACAGCAACTAAAGGCACGGGAAAAGGCGATAGCTTGGAGGGAAAAAATTAGGGTTTGGTGCCAGATGAGTGACTTATTGTATTTGGTGAGGTACTTTGTCATTTTTATCCACTGACCAACACCCCAAATTATTGTTTCTGAAAGTGGTGCGGTTGTAGGGACCGATTGCTGAAGTTGTTGTCTTTGTGTTGTGGTCCCTGTTACAGAATTCTTCTTTTTTTTTTTTGTCTTGGGTGCATCATTAACATAGTTGATAGCACTGCACCCATTAATGTTTGCTACGATGGGCAATTTGTTATTGGCGATAAATGGGAATATGGAGATGTCGTTGTTATCCTTGTCAGTGTGAGGAAGCTATTATATTAACTTTCTGAGAGATACATTGGAATAGCTGCGATGCAAAATTAAAAAATTGCATTAAAGGTACCCGGTAAGAGTGTTAAGGATGGTTTGAGATATCTATATGAGTATTGGAAGCTGGTATGGAAACTAGGTTGGTGATAGATCTCTTTTAAAAGGAGTTCTGAGAGTAGAGGAGACTATGGCTTCACATACAGCTCATGTTTTAGAGATTTGTGAGCAACTTGAGAGAGGTGGTGGCATATTTGATGATGGACCCATTTCCAAAAGAGGGAACTATAGTAAAATAGGGCTCTTGGGAAGTTTCACTGTCCAGTGATGAAGATGAGGAAACTCTAATGGATCCAACTTGCCCAAATGATGTTGATGATGAGGACATTGCACAAGCTAGGTAAGAAATGTGGGCATTTCGGCAAAGGAGGAATGCACCATTTGGGGAAGTGGATGGACCTATAAACAAGGATGAAGGAGCTCCTGTGGCTGATGGTCATGATACAGAATATGAGGAAAGTGGTGATGATGACAGCAATAGCTCAGAGGATGATGATAATGAAGATGTTGCACTTCTGCGTAGAAGGAAAAGTGAGTAACCTTCTTATGATTTAACGGGCACAAGTCTTGCGTTTAGTATATCGATGAGATTTGATGATGCAAAATAATTTAGAGATGCTAATGTGAAGTACTCAATCACTCAACAAAGGCATATTTGATTCATTAAAAATAACAAGGATTATAATAAAGCAAAGTGTGTACAAGAGAATTGTTCATGAAAGATATATGGTGCATTGGGTAAGAAGACTAGGCTCATTCCATATCCGATCACTCTAGGAGGAACATAACAACAGTATTGTATTTGACAACAAAAGAGTTATTAATGTGTGGTTGGCCAAGCACTTCTTCAACACCATGATAGAAATCATAAGTCCTCAATTGAAACAGCTAATGAAATAGCAAGTAGGTGTTAATGTGTCTAAAAAAATACAAAAGAGCCAGGTACAAGGTGATGAGTACATTGATGGGTACATATAAGGAAGAATATGCACAGATGGGACTACGCTAGGAAATGTAGGCTTCAGAATCCACTTAGTGGAATTCACGTAGGGAAGCCACTGCCTAATTATAAGACATAGTTTGGTACGATGTAGATATGTTTTGATGCATGCAGAAATGGATTATTGGCTGACTATAGAAAAGTGATAGGGTTCGATGGTGTTTTCTGAAGGGTAATGCAAAAGAGACATTAGGAGAGATGGAAATAAATAAATGTTTCAATAGCCCGGGCTGTTCTGAAGGTAGAGAACTTAGACACTAAGTCCTGGTTTCTGAAAATCTAATGACTGACCTTGGCATAACTGATTGAAGAGGTTGGGCATTCATGAGTGACCAACAAATTGTAATGTCATTGAACTATTGTCTTTCTAATATCATTCACATATTACAAATGTTTGTTAGTTTCATTATTGTAAGGACTTCTTCCTACAATAGCTGAGTTGAACATGTGAATGATATTAGAAAGACAATAGTTCAAATACTCAACCTCTTCCATTAGTTATGCCAAGGTAAGCCATTAGATTTTTCGGAAACCAAGACAAAGTGTTTTTATTTTCTTCCATCACAATAGCTAGACTATTGGAAACGTTTGGTTATTTCTGTCTCTCCCAATGGCAGCCAATAACTCTCCTTTGAATAACCGTTTTAGAAAACACCCAACTAATCCTATCACTTTTATACAACCAGCCTAGAATCCAAGGTCAGCCATTAGATTTTTCAGAAACCAAGACAAGGTGTCTTTGTTCTCTACCTTCACAACAGCCAGACTATTGGAAACATTTGCTTATTTCCGTCCCTCTCAATGGCAACCAATAACTCTCCTTTGAATAACCGTTTCAAAAAATACCCATCTAACCCTATCACTTTTATACAACCAGCCAAGAATCCATTTCTACATACATCAAAACATATATACTTCCAACCAAACTGTGTCCCGAAATCATGGGATGACTTCTCCACAATCTCTGCATGAATTATATTAAGTGGATTTAAAGCCTACATTACCTAGCATAGTCCCGAATCTATGCATATTCTTCCTTGTACGAACATATCAATGTACTCATCACCTTCTACTTGGCCCTTTTGCATATATTTCTAGACACATTAACACGTACTTGCTATTTCACTAATTGTTTCAATTGAGGACTTTAGTGCTTGGCCAACCACACAAAGTAACTATTTTGTTGTCAAATACAATACAACAATTATGTTCCTCATGGGGTATCGGATATGGAATGAGCTAGTCTTCTTACTTAATGCACCAATATCTTCCATGGACAATTCTCTTTTGCATACTTTGCTCTAATATAATCCTTAGTATTTCTAGTGAATTGAATATTCATATGTTGAGTAATTGAGTATTTCACAATAGCATCTTCAAATTGTTTTGCATCATCAAATCTCATCATTATACAAAACACGACTTGTACCAGTTGAATCATAAGAAGTATACTTACAATTCCTTCTACACAGACCTGCAACATCTTCATTATCATCATCATTTGAGCTACCGCTGTCATCATCACCACTTTCCTCATATTTTGTATCATGACCATTAGACACAGGAGTTCCTTCATCCCGATTTATGGGTTCATCCACTTCCCCAAATGGTGCATTCCTCCTTTGTTGTAATGCCCCCAAATCTTGCCTTGCTTGTGCAATGTCCTCGTCATCAACATCACTAGGGCAAACCATATGCACTAAACTTTCCTCATCTTCATAACTGGACAGTGCGACTTCCCAAGAGCCCTGGTTTACTCTAGTCTCCTCTTCAGGAAGTGTGTCTCCACCATCAAATATGCCACCACCTCTCTCAAGTTGCTCACATATCTCTAAAACACAAGTTGTATGTGAAACCTCAATCTCCTCTACTCTCAAATGTCCTTCTAAAACAGATCTATCACCAACTTGGGTTTCAATACCATTCCAATATTGTTTCCTCATCTTCATCACCGTGATATTACACATAAACATCTTGACCATGGAGATAATGGTAAACAAGATCCCTCACACCATTATCATCATACGGATATCTCAAACCATCTTCAGACTCTTACCAAGTACCTTGTAATGCAATTTCCCTATTTTGCATTGCAATTGTTCCACTATATCCCTCACAAAGTCTTTATATGACATCCTACTCACACTGACAAAAATACAATGACATTTCCACCAACATATTCCCACTCATCGCCAATAAAAAACTCCCCATCTCAACAAACATTAATGGGTTCAGTGGTATCACCCATGTAAACACTACACACAAGAAAAAAAATAGTACTTCTGTAACAGGACCCCAACATAAAGAGACGACAACTTCAGCAATCAGTCCCCACAACCGCACCACTTTCAATAAACAATCAATTTGGGGCATCGGCCAGTGAACATAAAATGACAAAGTATCTCACCAAATACATTAAATCACTCACTTTTACATTTTGGCATCAAACCCTAATGTTTGCCCTCCAAGCTATTTTTCCTTTTCCTGCACCTTTGGTCTCTATAAACAGCACAAATTGAATAAGCAATCGCTGATTTAGTTTGTCAGTGGACACAAAACAACAAATGTACCTAACGAAACACAACAAATCACTCACCTTTAGTGTCTGTCGACCAAGATTCATCGCACGACAAGCCCTAATTTCCCTCCATGCTGTCGCCTTTTTTACTCTGTCCAGCGAGAAAGGATCATACCGAGCAAGCAAGAGCTCCCTCGACAGACAGAGAATGAGTGTGTGAGTAAAGGGGAAGACAAAGCCCTAAAATTTTAGAAAGAGAGCTCGATTTGCTTTTTGTTTCGATTCTATGGGTGTACAAGTTGTAGTGAGGAAGCGTTGAGAGAGAGAGAGAGAGAAAAAAACGTGGTCGTTTAAGGAAGAGAGAGACTAAAAAACTCCGTCGTTTATGTGGGCAAGCATTTAAAGAAAGAGAGACATTTATTTATACTCTTGCCATGTTGGACAAAAAATTCCACGTTGGACTTTAATTCATTTTTAAAAATTCCACGTAGGAATGGAAAATTAAGTAAAAAATCCACCTAGAACAATTTGCTGGAAATGACCCTCAAATGAACGATTTTTCACCAATGTGGCACTCAAGTGAGCAGAAAAAATGTTACGGCACTCAAGTGCATGACGTATGGAAGTTATGGCACTCCTAGTGTTCTTATCCCAAAGTTATTGCCCACCCTTTCCCATTAGCATGCAGACTATGAGCCATCTTATTTTAGCACCCATTGCATTTACATCACTCCCCTTCCACAAATAAGCACGACATTGCTGCTCAATGATCGATCGTAGGGACAAATTTCATGGGCAAGAGGAAAAATTGACACCAGCAATTTGCACTTCTTTGAATGACATATTTGAATAAACTAAAGTCAACCAGGAATAGAGACTCTTAGCAGACCGAGCTCCAATTCTCGACAAAATTGAATAAATTTGAGCTTGACAATCCCTATTGGTAAGGGTCCTAGATATAAAGAACAATCCCAAATATCTAACTGGAAGATGATCCTGCCGAAAGTTGCTAATATCAACAAGCTGCAATCATCCCAGCAGAAACATCTCGCACTTCTTTCCTTTCAGTCCAGACATCACCTAAAAATTCTGCATACAGTAGGAACCCCTGCTATATCCTCTGTTCTACGACCAGAGAAGAATTTTTTCGTCATCAGCAGCACAAAAGCTCTTGTTTCTCCTCTTGCTCAAATTAGTAACAAGTACACAGAAGTTTTAAGAAATCTAAGCAACAACAGCTATGAAAGAAAAGTTAAATGACCATGATGATGATGATGTCACAACATCAAGTTAGCAAAGTTACACGATCATCTCCCAGGCAAACAGATTCCCTTCACAAGAGTGCCTCTACTAAGTACTATCGAGGAACCATCGCAATTGCATGTAGCAACAGATGTTAAACTCACCCAACACACCCACCCTATATTGCAGACACCACAGGGGTAACTCCAAAAGCAGATCATCCAAACGATAATTTTTTGCTAGATAAGTGCTGCAAAAATGGTTGTATACATAATTAAAGGAGCTACATATATATGGTGATTCTGCCAATTTAAGTGCAGAAGGGAGCTACTGCATTATACATTGCTCCCACAATGTATCGTCATTCGTATAAGCTTAGCAAACTTAATTTAAATGACTGGATTCTGCAAACATAGCAACCACACAGCAATGAGTTAGACCAAAGAAAGACAATAGTTCGAGCATACCATTGACACAACCGGGATCACAATGCCACCGCCAAGCAATTGACGATCGAAGACCCATTGGATACCTTGAGAACCGGATCCGACCAGCAAATACACCCCACCAGGTCCCCATGCTCGTCCTTCTTCACAGCAATCTCAGCACACCAGACCTCCATCTCCTTCCCACCACCCTTTCCCTCCCAAACCACCACCAAATTCCCACCCAAATTCGCCATCGTCGCACCGCACAAGAACTTCGGTAGCCCGCTCTCCACGCCCTTCAACTCCTTCCAAACCCCTTCCTTCACATCAAACCCTCTAATCTTCCCCAAATAGTCATAGCAATACAAAACCCCGTCAACCACACAAGCCCTCCCTCTCCAACCCATGTTGAGCTCACTGTCCACACTCTCCCAAACCTCCTTGTCCACGTCGTACACGACCCCGCCCCGGTCCGCCATCGCGTGGATCCTCCCATCCACAACCGCGCTAGCGTGCATCCACTTCTCCCTCACATCGAGCGACGAGGACGGAACCGCCGCCCACGATCCGCCCCCCGGGACCAGGACCTCCGCCCAATGGGCGGCCCGGGACCAGGTGTCCACGGTGCACCCGCCCATGACGTACAGCTTATCCCCGACCACGCCGGCGGCGGCGAACTCCCGCCCCACCCGCATGGCGGGCCCGGACCGCCACCGGTGGAACCGGCAATCGAGGACCCAGACATGGGGCGAGGCCACGTCGTTGACGGACCCGCCGAGGACGTAGATGAGGGGGCCGACGGCGGCGAAGGCGGAGCCGATGGAAGGGGAAGGGACAGGGGGGATGGGGACGAGGCGGCGGCGGCGGTGGCGGTGGCGCTGCTGCTGCTGCTGCTTCGGGGAGGTGGGGTCTGGGGCGGGGGGCAAGTGCAGGGTGAACCACAGGTGGCGGTAAGGGGAGGAGGGGTGGCGGAGGGCGAGGTAGAGGGAGGGCTGGGTGCGGCGGAGGAGGCGGCGGGCGGAGAAGAGGAGAGGGGAAGAGAGGAGGGAGCGGAAGGCCTTGGAGACGAGGGAGAGGGTCGGGTGCTGGGAGCGAGGGACGCGGGCGATGATGTTCACGGCGACGTCGTCCGGGAGGGACGGGATCAGCGGGGCCACGGCGGTCGGAGCGGCGGAGGAGGCGGCGGCAGCGGCGGACATGATCCGGAGATGGGGGGGTTGGAGTTCGAAGCCGGAGGTAGCTGGTAGTGAGAAACGTCGACGGTTTCGTCTGTCCAGCTACCAAATTCCACCGAAAATCAAAGGACAATTAAAAAAAAAGTTTAATAATACGAAATATCTTAAACTGATATGTACGTAATAAATTTACGTCAAACTAATTTTTTTATCATAAAAAATTTAAACCGATACACCTGTAACAAATGACTACCAAAAATTATAAATTGATACATTTGCAACAAATTTACCCTCCGTTAAATTAAATTAATACTACGAAAAATTAAAAACTTGTACACTTATGATAAACGGAGATAAAACCCCAAATCGGTACACCCGTCAACTCTTACTTGTCATCCAACTCAGCATTTGACTGTAAAATTTAACAGAAACTAATATAGGGTAAATTTGTCTAAGGTGTATCAATTTGGGGTTTTTATGATAAAATAATTAGTTTTGCGTAAATTTATCACAATTATATCAATTGAAATTTTTGGTAATATTAACCAAAAAATTATTATTATTATTATTATCGTCATCATGGTCATGGTCCTCGTCATCATCTTGTTTTCCAAGAGAAATCTTCAAAAATTCTTCTCAAGTGGAGCCGACTTTTCAAAATTCTCCTCGCACTTAATTTTATTTAAAATATCAAAGACTATATCGGATGATCGATTGATCCACAGTTTGATAGATTGAACCAAATCATTTAACAATATATGTTTTGTCAATATATGTTATGTTATATATCATAAAGAGAGAGGATACTCATTTTTAGATGGTTTAAGCAAATTGTTTTTGGGTGGTTGTGCAATCGAGACTCACCATGCGATCAATCATTTCCAGTCATATTGTGATGTTTGGCTCAACTGTGATGAGCGCATGTTGCACGATGAAAGCTGTTGGAATTTGAATTCGACCCCTATTGTATTCGTCTTTCTTTCACTTATTTAAAGGGCCGGTTTGATCCGATTTTAAGTGAAACATTAGAATCAATATCGCCGGTTTGGATCGGTTTGTCTGATACTTGACCAGTATCAACCATAGATGGCATGAACCCATGAACCGGATCGAAAGCCAGGTCGAGACTTCATTGAACCGGCTAGTCCGGTGGAGTTTTCAAATATCTCAAGAAGTTGATCATTTTGACTCAACGAGAGCTGATCACATGTGAAGAAGGTGAATCACTAGTGCAAGTGAGTGGCAAAGATGAAATGTGATTTTCCGGGGAAAAATGACCTTAGCAAAAGGACAAATCATGGGAATTTGGCAATCGCTTAGGGCCTATTTATTAACGTTTCTATTTTTTTATTTTTCTGTTCTTTTGTTCTTCGGAATAGAAAAAGATTATAAATCCATTGAGTAACATCACTTAGTTTTTTTGTTTCCCGGAACAGAAAAGCGGTCAGGGAATAGATTTGGAATAGAAATAAAAAATAAAAAAAATTTACTCTTCTGTTCCTGAAACAAAAAGAGAAACAATAGAGAAACAAGATAAACTATCTCTTTCACAAAATATTCTCATACTAAATCCTAAAAGCCTAAACCTTAACCATCAAATCATAAACCCCAAAACCTTAAACCTCAAAACCTAAACCCTAAAACCCATGACACTAAAATCAAAAAGCCTAAACCCTAAAACACAAATCCCTAAAATCCTAAACCTCAAATCCTAAACCCTAAAGTCCCAAACCCAAAACCCGAAACACTAAGATCTAAACCCCAAAACTCCAAATCCAAAATCCTAAAACCTAAACTCTAAAATTATAATTCCAAACCCTAAATCCTAAAACGCAAAACCGCAAAACCCCAAACCCTAAGCCCTATACCCTAAATCCCAAACCCCAATACCCAAAACTCGAATCCCTAAAACCTTAAACCCTATACCCTAAAACCCCAAACCCGAAACACTACCCGAAACTCTAAAACCTAAACCCTAAAATCCAAAACCTAAAACCCCAAACCCTAAACCTCAAAACCAAAATCCTAAAACCCTAACCCCTAACCCTAAATCCTAAAATCCTACACCCTAAATTGCAATTTCCTCAACCACCACCCGGTATTTGCTTTGTCTATAGGGAGTAATTTTCTTTATGATTGTACTAAGGTTATCCATTTATATATCATAATATGTTAATATTTTATTTCTAGTCTAATTTTATACAAACATGAATTGTTAAGTCTCTTAAACTGTAATTTCCTCGACCACCACCCGGTATTTGCTTTGTCTATAAGGAGTAATTTTCTTTATGATTGTATTAAGGTCATTCAATTCTATATCATAATATATTCTTATTTTATTTCTAGTCCATTTTTTTTCAAAAATGAAAAGTTAAGTCTCTACCGACAATTTTATAATTAAATAAAAAATTAGAAGTAGAATTTTTTAGTGTCATACCAAATGCATTTATGTTCTTTTTCTACTCCGGGAATAGAAATTTTGTGCAGTTACTAAACCCTTTTTTTTTTCTCAGAAACTCGTCTAGGGAATAGAAATAGAAAAAACTATTTTTGAACAGAAATTGTTTTTGGGAACATAAGCATTACTAAACAAACCCTTACTTTCACCGGTACGAATGAAGGAATCATTGGGTTAAAATGATCAAATTTTAAGATATATCTTAACAAAGCCGAATTTGGAGGAAATTTTGAGAAGCCGTCTTTCGAGGAGCTTTTGGAGCTTTTCCCTTGCTTCATTGTTATTACAGTGGATAAAATTTTGTGAAATTTTGCGTTTTTCTTCTAAGGTATACATCAGTAATTACTGATCTTTTTAACATGGCTTGTTTATAAATGAGTTCATATAACAGTTGTTTTCATTCAATTGTAAAGAATTTTAAGAAACTACTAATCGCTTTTTAGGGTTCCGTTTGGCCATCAAAAATGTATTCACTAGCAAAAACGGTTATATGAGTGTCATATCTTGAAATTTATTCTCGAGTGTCATTTCATTTCAAAATGCTTTACGACAAATATCATGAGACTAAGTACTTAATTATAGTTCGGGTCTCGTAGACAAATATTTCGTATGATCAATACATTGTTGAGGGCATGAAAAGGTTAACTTGATATAAATTTAATATTAGAAAATTGGTTCAAGATACAATTTAATTATATTATACAAAAAAATTGTATATATAAAATTTTTAAGCAATAATGACATAAAGTTGAGATGGCCGAGTTGGTCTAAGGCGCCAGATTAAGGTTCTGGTCCGAAAGGGCGTGGGTTCAAATCCCACTCTCAACATTACTTTTTTATTTTTTTATTTTATTTTTGTTCATATTTTATTTTATTTTCACACAATCCTCGCGCCAAAAATAAAACTGAAAATACCATACCTTATCTTCTCAGTTTCCTGAGGCCTAGAGCATGTCCACACCAACTTCCATGGGCATGGCCTCTCTCTCCGATCTCGGCGTCGGAGCTGCGTTCTTCTCCTTCTGCGAGCTGCACCCCCACCCCCACTCCCACCACCATCATCATAATCAGAGCTTCAACTTCTTCAATCCCCGCCAACAACAATGGCGGATCGGCGCTTCCTCTGCTGCTGCGGGAGTCGATCTCAACGCCCTCGAGTCCGCCATTGCTCAGGTGGAGCTGTTTCTGTCGAACTCCAACTTCGAACTATGTCGCGTTTCCTTTTTCAGTTTACCGAACAGTTTACGCGATTGAATTGGGTTGCCTGACTGCTGCGGAGCAAGATTCAGTTCACACTCAGTACTAATGCACTGTCACTGAGGAATTTGGTTCTGATCTTGACGGTTGTTCTTGGTTCATCTTGGGTTGTATGATGATGCTTAATTGACGAATGTTTGCAACAGAAAGACAGCGATGCGGTGAAGGACGCTCTCAATCAGCTGAGTGAACTCGGTTGGGCCAAGAAGTGGAGTTCTCAGCCTTATGTCTCTCGCCGCACGGTCGGTCTCCAGTTTTTCTTCAACTCTTTGCAGAGGAATGTGTTAAGCTTTTTACTATTGAAAAGGAAGGATCGGTGATACTTTCTTTGGGTTTGTGCACGTTCTTAACATGAGAACTTCATGCTTCATAGAGCCCTAAATGTTTCATTAGATTCATTGATTTGTCTTTTGTTGGAGGGTAACTTCTGCGATGCTTGTGTGGCAGACGTCTCTTCGCGAGCTGACAACTCTCGGCATTAAAAACGCGGAGAATCTCGCCATCCCTAGCGTTAGAAACGATGTAAGTATTGAAGCAACAACGTTCTTCGTCAAGAGATACATTTTTTACAATGTGAAGAGTAATTGCTAATTGCAACACTTCTTTCGATCTTCATCTTCATATTTCTTTAAAAAAATCGGAGAATTCATTTTCGCTGCTTATTTTATTTTAGTTTTTCATAACTTCAATATCTTCAGTAGTGCAGGCGGCTTTTCTTTTCACAGTGGTGGGGACAACTGGATTCTTGGGTGTTATAGCCGGCCAGCTTCCTGGGGTAACTACCGTGTGTTCTGTTTGATGTTGCTTTTTTGTCTGTCTGTAAATTGCCAAGAAATGGTGTACTAAAGTATAAGAAGTAAAATCCGACCAAAAAAAAAGTATAAGAAGTAAAAGAAAATGAATTTGTGTGAAACAATTGAATCACATACTCAACATCAGAATTGGAATTACCGGCCAGTGACTGTACTTTGCTGGTTTGTGTTGCATTTTGGCTCAGTTACTGAGCATAGCTGCTCTTAAACTGCTATTACCGGCCAGTGACTGTACTTTTGTAGTCTGTATGATCATCATCTATTTGGTGCTTTCATCTATAAGAGGATGAGTCGTGCCGAGGAATTATTGTGCTTGTTAGTGTTTGTGTTTGCACTGCTATACATTGTAAACATTTACATTGAGTATTGCTATATTTCGTCGGTCCGCCCATGATGTGTGTGTCCAAGGGACACCATTTGCTCTAATAAGAAGTGTGTCTGAGAAACACCTTTTGAAGAGGTGCGAGAAGAGTTTCTTAAGGGAAGTTAAGATAACTTCCTCGGATGATGAACAATTTACAAGAGTAAATTCAGAACTCTCTTTCTCGACGTATAAGGATTCCGTATCTATTCTTAGAAGACA